GGTCCCAAGGAGGGGCTCGGGCCCAGCCCGCCAGGGCTCTGGCGACACACAGGCGGTGGCGGCGGGCGGGGGCGGAGCATGTAAATTGGAACGGGAGTGCCGGGCCGAGCAGCGGGCGCGGCCTTGGGGCGGTTCGCGGCTCGAGACGTGGAGGGCGGAAGGCGCGCGCGAGCGGCGCGTGTGGTGCGAGTCGCTGGTCCGCGCGGGAGCAGCGCCGAGGTGGGCGCATGCGTGCGTGCTGGCGGCTCACCGTGAGTTAAAAGTGGGCGCCGTGGGCAGGGCCAGGCGCCTGGCGGCTGCTGAGGTATCGCTTCTCGGCCTTTTGGCTAAGATCAAGTGTAGTATCTGTTCTTATCAGTTTAATATCTGATACGTCCTCTATCCGAGGACAATATATTAAATGGATTTTTGGAACTAGGAGTTGGAATAGGAGCTTGCTCCGTCCACTCCACGCATCGACCTGGTATTGCAGTACTTCCAGGAACGGTGCACCCCTCTTGGGGAAATCAGTGCCAGTTGAAAGAAAAGAACTTTTTGAATTTCCTGTAACTGTTTAATTTGTTTCTTGTTACAAGAAGACAATTTTGCTCTTAGGTATCCCATACAAGTCCGTATGTTTTTCTCACCCAGTGTCATTACAACAGATCGTAGGCTGAGGGCATTCCTACTAGTGACCATCAGATCCAACCAAGATGTACTTCTGCTGCAGCCCAGGTGCGGAGGGGCAGAAAGGCAGGTTCCTAGGCCTCTCTCCACCTCATGTGTGAGGAAAAGCATTCCCCAGGTCCCCAAAGCCTCTGAGCCCAAGCAGAGGACAAGAGCCTTTGACGTGACCTGAACGAGAGGCTAGAGGATGTGGGCAGATAGGGAGAAGGAACGTGGAGGGAACAGTCACCATTCACATCACATGCAGTTTCAGGCCCGGGGTCCTCTTTGAAACAGGCTCTTCAATCTCTTGACAACTGCACTTTCTGTGGGTCCAACAGTCGCAAGGCTGTCCTGACATCAGATGGCAAACACCTAAACCTCTGGACACACGTGCGGTGTACTTTGGAAGGAGGCTGGGAGCGGCCCGGAGCCCCTGAAACTGTGGCCCTGTTGGCTCACCTTGATCGGTAATCCTGGCCACTGTTTCCTCGGAACGCTGTCCCCTGACTCGGACTCGTACAAACCAGGTAGAATGCAGACGAAGATTGCTCCCGGTCTTCTGAGTCCTCGCTTTGTTTTGCGGGACCACAGCCCTGCGCGAGCAGGTCTTCCTCCGACTGTGTGTGTGTGTGTGTGTGTGTGTGTGTGTGTGTGTGTGGCTCCGGGGAGCAAACCGCCCGGGACCTTGGTGCTCGGCACGAGCGTCTGGACCTGTCCTGTCTCCGGCTCTTGTCCATGGGTGCTCACGGGCATACTCCAGGCTCTGCGCTCAGGGGTCACTCCTAGCGGACTTCGGGGACCCTCTGAGGTGCCGGAGGATCAAGGGCGCGGCAAACGCTGTACCCTCTTTCCTGCCTTCCCGGAGGTCTGTTCTCTCTGGGTGGGTCCCAAGGAAGGGGCTCGGCCCCAGCCCGCCTTGGCTCTGGCGACACCAAGTCGGTGGCGTCAGCGGTTCCCTGGCGGCGGGCGGGGGCGGAGCATGTAAATTAGAACGGGCCTGGCGGCCCCGAGCGGCGGGTGCGGCCGTGGGCTGGTCCGCGGCTCGAGACGTGGAGGGCAGAGGGAGCGCGCGAGAGGCGCGTGTCCGGCGAGTCGCTGGTCCGCGCGGGAGCAGCGCCGAGGTGTGGCCGCATGCGTGTGTGCGGGCAGTTCACCGTGAGCTGAAAGTGGGCGCCGTGGGAAGGGCAAGGCGCCGGGTGGCTAGTGAGGTATCGCTTCTCGGCCTTTTGGCTAAGATCAAGTGTAGTATCTGTTCTTATCAGTTTAATATCTGATACGTCCTCTATCCGAGGACAATATATTAAATGGATTTTTGGAACTAGGAGTTGGAATAGGAGCTTGCTCCGTCCACTCCACGCATCGACCTGGTATTGCAGTACTTCCAGGAACGGTGCACCCCTTTTGGGGTATAAATTGTGTCCAAGAGAAGTGCCTCACTGTTTCACTACATTAGGCTACTAGTTTTATTTTGAGTTGGTTTTTCTTTATGGCAAGTATTCTTTGAACGTCTTTAGTTTTCTTTTCGACTCTAAGGAACCAGTTTTTAATAGGCTTTTCTTAGTATTATTATCAATATCCTTGTTTGGCATTTTGTTAATCTCAGTTTATTAAACTTTCTGACTTTGGCTAAGTGTCAGGACTATGCTACCCACCAAAATTTGTATCTCAATAAGGTTTAGAAGACTCCATGAGAATCAGGCATAGGAAATTCTGGTGACTTCTTAAGGAACTGTTTGAAATTTGTTGACAGGAATTTAGCCGTGGAGAGTTTGGAGTAGGGAAGGGAGACTGAAATTTTGCCCAATATAGATAGGGAAAGACTGGCTGAAGAAGTTTTTATTTTAACCCTAGGATAAGTGGGAAAGAGGGGGATCAAGTCTATTCATAGAAGGCCTAGGTACAATTAGTGAAAAAAGGAAACAAAGGAAAAAACATTAAAAATTTTATTCATAAAAAACTAAGTCCAAAATTCAGTGCTCTAGCCCAAGGAGTGATAGGATATTAAAGTAGTATTATTTAACCTGGTTGGTACTTAAAATGGCCTTAATTGATCACTATAATTAATTTATGGTGTAATTCTCGAATGCTGTTAGTCATAATTCAAAGTGAAAGCCAACCAGACTGTCAACGTTGAAGATGTTTGTTCGGCTTCTGGTAAAAGGCTGAGCGGGTATGTGTAATTAATAGGGATCTCATGGTGTCTGGGTTGCTGGGCCCTTCATTTGTACTTATATCTAACCAACTAAAGAATAGTGAAATAAAAGTTGGTGGCCAGAGTTGTTTCATGCTTAGGACACAAACTTTTTTTTGGGGGGGGGGGGGGCTGGGGGACTTTTTGGCTCACAAAAACCCCCGGCAATGCTCAGGGGTTACTTCTGCCTCTGCACTCAGGAATTACTCCTGGCGGTGCTTGGGAGACCATATGGGATGTAGGAGAATCGAACCCGGGTCCGCCGTTTGCAAGGCAAACGCCCTACCCTCCGGCAATGCTCAGGGGTTACTTCTGCCTCTGCACTCAGGAATTATTCCTGGCGGTGCTTGGGAGACCATATGGGATGTAGGAGAATCGAACCCGGGTCCGCCGTTTGCAAGGCAAACGCCCTACCCTCCGTGCTATCGGCCCGGCCCCCACATTTTTCTTTACTTCTTTTCTTTATTAAATGCTTACTGGACTACTTGGTCCTTGCTAAACTACGTCGGGCTTCGAGGGTGGGGGTTGGGGCACTTTGAAGCGGTCAGGAAGTGGGTCCCGAGGCGGGGCGGGCCAGCGCCGTTGGGGCGGAGCGTCCCGCCGAGTTGTCCCGTGGTGCGTTCTCGCCCTCGCTCCCTCCTTCCGCGCTTTCTGCAGTTTCTGCATCCCCTCGGGAGAGACGCTCCCTGATTCCTCTCTCTCTCGTTTTTCCTATGGGAGGTCGGGGACGAGGCTCCTTGCTTGTATTATCCTAAACCAGGCGTATGCGCGGTAAGTTTACCTCTGGCTCTCTTGGGAGTGCGGTGTATTTCAGATCCTTTTTTGAGGGGCGGGGTGGGGCTGGCGATTCCGGGTTTACTTTTAGATCTGCTCTCAGGGGATCACTCCTGGTTGCGTTGACTTGGGGGGACCGTTTGGGGTGGCAGAGACCTAACCCGGGTCACCTGTATGCAAGGCCAGTTGCCCTACCTGCTGTACAATACTCCAGCCTCGGGGACTTGAATCTTTTATTGGGCTCAGCCTCAGTCTGCTTTGCCACCAGGCTCATACCCGACTTGGGAGTAGAAAGGGGCTCATTCCCTTCCCTGAGAGAATGCCTCTCACACATGCTCCCCTAGAGACCCTTCATGTTTTTTGTTTGTTTGTTCGTTTGTTTGCTTTTTGGGTCACACCTGGCAATGCACAGGGGTTACTCCTGGTGGTGCTTGGGGGAACCATATGGGATGCTGGGAATCGAACCCCGGGTCGACCACGTGCAAGGCAAACCCACTGTGCTATCACTCCATCCCCGACCCTTCATGTTTTGTTTTGGGTGCACACCTGACTGTGGCTTACTCCTGTCTCTGCACTCAGGGTTCACTCCCAGTGAGGCCCGGGAACTGTATTTGGTGCTAGGAATCAAACCTAGGTTGGTTCCCAGCAAAGCAAACACCCAAACACCCTACCTGCTATACCATAGAGGCCCTTCTTAAGGGCATATGCCAGAAATCTCCCTCTTGCAGCTGAGAGGTCCCTGGATTCCAGACCAAGTGAGTTCTCATTAGTTAAGCCCAGGAGTGCGCCTGCCCACCTCATTCCACCTTCACTCTGGAGTTTTTGGGGGAAAACCTAGACTTAGTCTTGATCCTTCTAACAGACTGCAGACGTTCCTAACTGCAGAGAGCCTCCCCTAATCTTGCTTCCCTAGTAGCCCCCACCCCAGAGAACAGTGAGGAAGATGTTTATGGTTCCGTGAAGAACTATTTTGGGGTTTTTGGGGTTTTAGCCATACCTGTCGCCAGTCTTGCTTCTCCCGTTTGGAAGAATTTGCCTTCCTAGTAAGGTAGTGCCTTGAGGAGAAATGAAAGCTTATCTGTCACAGCCCTGCCACCCTACTAGATTGCCTGCCCCCCCCCAACCCCCATAAGAGTCCTCTTCAGAATCCCTAGTGACTCTTACGGAGAAGGGACTCTGGCCTGCCCCACTCTCTACCCAACTTCCTTTCCTAAAATAAATGAGTATGTTCAGCAGCTTTCACAGAAAAGCAGCAGCTCAGCCCTTCACTTAGGGAAGCCCTTTAAAGTGAATAACTTCCGCTTTTCTATTCCCTCTGTAGGAAAAGCAAATAGAGCACCTGGGATGACGTCAGGAGATGAAATGCCAGGAGCTTTCCGAGAAGAGACTCGAGTCCTAACTGCTCGGTTGCTGCTGAACTGAGAGTGTGACTCCTTGGCTCTCTTGAGAACGTAAAGCCCCTGAACTTTGTTCTGTTTGAAAAGCTCTCCCTGAAGGATGTTCTCCCAGCGGGGCTCTCTGGTGGGCGAGAACAGGTCCATCCTACCCTCCACCACCACCCCCAGCCACAAGGCTGCCAGCTGCATCAGCTCCTGTGGCAGCAAATCTTTCTGTTCCTGTGTGCCTTGGGACAGATCTGCTGGTGCCAGCTTTGTGACTTGTCCCACCTGCCAAGGCAGTGGGGTGATCCCTCAAGGTGAGTGGCCCAAGGCACAACATAGGCTGGAATCAGGATAAGTTTCCATTAGCCCGCTGGCCAGACCCCCCGCCGATGGGGTTGGGTTTCCAACCCCTGAGCCCCGAGTTTCCGGCTGGCCTGAGAGATTCTGACTCTCCTCAGGTCAGAGCCCTGGCGCGAGGGGTTCAGTGACACTGCTTGCTTAGCAACCCTGTGTCTCAGGAGCCCGAAAGTCACAAATGACCTTTCCAAAGAAGCTAGGGGGCTCTGATGTGCTGGTTACGGGCAGAGATCTTTCTGCCTATTATCAAAAACCTCACTACCACTCCAGAGAGGGCCACGCTGCGCTGCCAGTGTCCGTAACTAAGCCTGGCGCTTCCAGTCTGCCCTGAAGCCCTGGTCGCATGCCGCTGTCTGTAGGGGTCATTCTGGGCGGCTGACACAGGAAGTACTTGTCACGATCTCATTGTGGCCCTCCCTCCATCCTTTCTCGCCACAGAGCTAGAGAAACAGCTGGTGGCCCTCATCCCCTATGGAGACCAGAGGCTGAAACCCAGGCGCACGTAAGTTTTCCCACACACCTTGTCTCCCGCCTTCCACCTTGGGAGCTGTTCCTTTTTGTCTCCCTGGTTCTGTGACACTCTCCAACCCCACCCATCTCTGGCTGGTTCTCTCTGGCTCCGGTCTGAGAGTTTACCACCTAGCCCCACCCCACAATCTGGGTCTGGCAGTGCCCTTCATAAGACATTCAGTGAGAGGCTGTGGATATGGCTCAGTGAAGAGCACCTGTCTGGCATGTATGAGATCCTGGTTCGATGCCCAGCACAGCCAAAAAAAAAAAAAAAAGACAAAAAAATATGACATGCTATCTTCTCTTTAATGCATACCTCAATTTGGAGTTGGATCAACAGGTAATGCCCTATTTTGAAGATTAATGGGGTTTTTTTCTTTTGGGGCACACCTGGCAATGCAGGGTTACTCCCAGCGGTGCTTGAGGAACCATATGGGATGGGATGGTGGGGGTCAAACCTGGATTGGTCGCATGCAAGACACGCACTGTACCTGCGGTACTATTTCTCCAGTCCCTGATAAAATTGAGAACTTTGAAAATTCAGATGGACTTCTTCTAGTATAAGAGCTCACATTCGTTGCACTTTTGCTATGCATCAAGATCTGGCATTAGTGCTTTTACAGGCATCAACCCATAGCAAACTCTGTTAGGTAAGTAAACTAATCTCCATTTTTCAGATAAGAACTTAAAGATTTTGGGGTGGGGCATGGTGTTGCTGAACTTGTGGGTGCCCAGAGCTGAGAGATAGAAACCAGGCTGTGGACCAGAGCAATAGTACAACAGGTAGGGTGCTTGTCTTACATACATACAACTTACTCAGGTTCAATCCCCAGTACCACATATGATCCCCCAAGGCCCATAAATAATGATCCCTGAGCACAGAGCCTGGAATAAACCTGAGTACCTCCTAGTATGGTCCAAAGAGGAAAAAGAAGAAAAGAAAAGGAAGGAAGAAAGGAAGGAAGGAAGGAAGGAAGGAAGGGAGGGAAGGAGGGAAGGAGGGAGGGAGAGAGAGAGAAGCAGAGACAGAGAGAAAGAGACTGGAGTGATAATAGTACAGCGGGTAGGGGTAGGGCATTTGCCTTGCATGTGGCCGAACTGAATTCAGTGCCCAGCATCCCATTTGGTCCCCCAAGTGCCACCAGGAGTAATTACTGAGTGCAGAGCCAGGAATGACCCCTGAGCATCACACCCGTGACCCAAAAAGCGAAGGAGAGAGAGAGAGAAAAGATAGAAAGAAAGAAAGAAAGAAAGAAAGAAAGAAAGAAAGAAAGAAAGACAGGCAAGCAGGCTACCTGCCCCCAGTCCAGTGCTCCTGCCCCCTCTGAGCCACCCCTGCACCTGAGCTGTGCATCCATGGGGGCAGTGGGGGTCAACAGCAAGCCTCCCATGTGGCGAGCACTGCATGAACCCCACCAGTCTTGGCTCTCAGACCTCTAACCTAGGTCCTGCTTTCCCACAGGAAGCTGTTCGTGTTCCTGGCAGTGCTTATCTCCCTGGTGACCAGCTCACTCTTATCCTTTGCCCTGTTTCCTCACTCCATCTCTGTGCAGCCTGTGGGCCTCAACTCCTCCACGGTGGCCTTCGACCAGAAAAAGGTCTACATCAACATAACGGTGCGTGGGCGCCTGTGCCCCAAAGCTCCAGCCACACCCTCTAACAATGTTTCTTAGAAACAACCCACGGATGGGAAACCAGGGATCTCGTGGCACCCAAAGGGGAGAAACCGGGAGCAACCATGGCCCTCACAGCAGATACGAAGTTGGAACTCTCCTCAGCCTGAAGTCAGAACCTGGGATAGAGAAAACACCATGGGGGTGACTGGGACTCCCTGGGCAGGCAGGACTGAAGGAGTCGAGGAGGATGAGGCTAGACCTGGAGCCGGCTTGGTATCTGAGTAAAAGCTGACACCCGAAGGACCCGTGAGAGAGAGCACAGTTAGGTTCTTGCCTTGTATCCAGCCGACCCCGGTTCTACTGGTTCTATCGGGGCCCATCTATGTTCCCCCTTTCCCCCCCAGCACTATTAGGAGTGATTCCTGAGCACAGAACCAGGAGAAATCTCTGAACGCAGCTGGGTGTGGCACCAAAACCAAAAAGAAGACAGAGCAATACTCCTGACACTGGTGCTCACCAGCTGACGCCCCTAAGGGAGGGAGAGGGACTGAGGCTGGGTGACTGGGATGCATCAGCTCTCTGCAGAGAGGGCCACCCTCAGATCTCCTTGCTTTCCTCCCCAGAGCATCTTGAATATCTCCAACAGCAACTACTACCCGGTCACTGTGACCCGCCTCACTATCGAAGCCCTGCATGTGGCCCTGGTGGTGGGTCAGGTCTCCCTAAACCTCAGCCGCCGCGTCGGCCCTTTGGCCACTCAACAGGTGATTCCCTGCTCCCTGGGCTGCCCTGCGCACCCGTGTGGTTGGGAAAGGCGGGGTGGGCATGGGCTTTGGGGCTCACTCTGTCCACTGGACCGACAGATGGTGTATGCAGTAGCCACCGGGATTGCGGACGAAAGCACACAGTGAGTACTCTTCTGGCTCTCGGTGTAGCCTCTCTCCTGGGATGGAGACCAGGCTGTTTTGGTTTGATGGTGGTGGTGTTCATTTGGGTTTGAAGTTTGGGTATTAGACCACACCTTGATGTAAGTTTCAAGAAAAGGCGTGTGGGCCATGGGACATGAGTGTTCGGTGGCCGAGAGCCACTTCCCCAGGCTCGACGATGGAGACGAGTGGACGGACAAAGGACCAGGGGAATGGAGAAACAGGACCCGGGCCCCAGGCTGGTCGGTAGTCAGTTTATTTCTCTCTTTTCCCTGGCGTAGTCTGATCTCTCCCCTCATGACGCAGTTTTAGTTGTAATTTTGATCGTAGTCCCAGTCATCATAGTTTCGTCATCCTAGTCTCCTCATAGACCTCAAAGTCCTCCCTTTCATTATATCTTCTTCCTCGTCTCAACATAGTCTCGTAGTCCTCTACTTCCAGTGACATGGCATCCTCCAATACTCCTCCTAGTCCCCAAAGACCTCAAAATCCCAAAGTCCCTGTTCTCCTCTAGTCTTCAATGTCTAGTCTCCTCTTATCCTTTACAGCATAGATATGTAGAAATCATGAAGGATGGGAATACATAAAGGTGAGGTTGAACGTTATCCTAACAACAAACAGATGTAAAGTCACTCCTTTAGGAAATTAACTCGAGGATAAAATCTCATCTGAGGGCTCGGTATTCCAGATTTCTGTAATCCATCCAGGGTATATTGCTTTCTCCTTTCCTCAGCTAGTAATCCATTTAAACAATAATTGTAAATTTACTTCTTATAATATTTCTAGCAATGTCATTTTGTATGGACACAGTAAGAGATATACTAAGCTTAAAGTTTGGCTTTTCCTGGGGAAATCTCACTGTATATTCTGGACCATAGTCTTCAGGCCAGGTTAGTCTTTCTTAACCCCAGCAGGGTCCTTATTCAGTTACTTCTTTTTGGATCATGACAGTTTTTCCATGAACGTTTTGTTAACTTATAGCTAAGTATTATGGCACTTGGCCTGGCCCATTTGATACCAGGGTAGCTCACAGCTTGCCCTGGATCCATCCAGTCCCTCACTGGGACCCTGCTTTTGGGGTGCTAGGAACTAAGGGCAACTGAGGCTTAAGTCACATAAATATGGATGCCCAGGAGTAAATATTATTTTGGAGTCAATTAATTCCCATGTTACAAAGCATAGCATGAACTGTCTTCCTGTGTCTATACAAAAAAGGACATTGCTAAATAAATCATGCAAATGACATAAAGGAAAGAGAAAAGCAATATAGGATTATTAGTGCTTGATGGAATTGGGTGTGTCTCAGGGGCACTGTTGTGGGAATAGCTCAGTAAACCTAAGCTTACTGTGGGAGGAGCAAGGACAACCCAGTCTTATCCAACACCTTAAGGTGCTCAGGACTTTGCCTCGCTCTGGGCTGGGGCTTGCTCTTGGTGCTGCTCAGTGGGGCGTGCACTGCTAGGCTCCACCCATGTCTCCTCCATGCAAAGCAGGCATGCCCTTGCATTAGCTCAAGAGACCCAGAAACTCAGCTTCTACCCCAAGACTCCCCTTGGAGTCCGCATTGAGCCGCAGTCTCGGGTAAGACAGCAGTGGACAGGCACACCAGTCCCCAGTGCCCCATAGAATGGAAAACAAACTGGAATGTGATTAATCCTGAGAAAATGTCACCCTGGGCCCTTCAGCAGAAATCTGCAGAGTCTGGGAGGGACCCATCAGTGCCTGCCCAGAGCCATCAGGGCCTTCAGGAGTGAGATTGCAACAGGTGACAGGCTCAGGGAGACAGGAGTGGGGAGAGGGGCAGAGAGGCACTTTCCCACCTCCACCTCCCACGGCCGAGTCCAGGAGTGAGCAGGCTGGGATCTACAGGGCTTCTCCGCCTTCTGTCCAGTGAAATGTGGGTTCATGTGCTCTCTCTCTTTCTCTTTCAGCAAAATCTGTTCCAGGCAGGAATTTAAAGTCCACCACGTGCTTTTGCACATCCAGTACGTAGCACACGGAGCTCTGTGGCCCCTTCTGTGATTCCACTTTCACCTGGCTCCCCTCGTGGCTGGAGAGAAAGCCGTCCAATCTCATCTCAGGATTCTCTGTTGGTTCTGGGAATCATAGGTCTAGCCCACCTTGTTTACAAGCTATTGGGGTGACCACCACAGAACTATCTGGAACAGGGGCCGGAGTGTAGAACACTTGCCTTGCATGTGGCTGACCTGGGTTTAATCCCAGACATCCCATATGGTCCCCTGAGTGCTGCCAGGAGTAATTCCTGAATGCAGAGTCAGGAGTAACTTCTGAGCATTGCCAGGTGTGACCCTCCCCCCCCCCAAAAAAAAAGCACCAGGAGTGATCCCTGACCACAGTCAGGATTAAGCCCTGGGTACTACTGGGTGTTATCCCCCCCCCCCCCCCCCCCCCGCCAAAAAAAAATAGTGCGGCTTCTGGCTGAAGTGCCTGGGCAGAGTGGGACACAGAAGAGGGTATAAGGAGGAGGGGAGGGCAGACAGTTTCCTCCCCCCAGACACAGCAGTGATACCTGCTTCCTCTCCAGGGGCACACTGACTTACTCCTGCCTCAGCCATTCGGAGCAGAAGGTCTTCGAGAGCCAAGAATATGTGGACTGCCATGCAAACTCATCACTGGCCCCCATGCCGGCCTCTCTCCTGCTCTGACCTGTCTGCTGTCCCTAAACTCCAGGCACAGGAGATGCAGATCTGTGCCTGCGACTATTCCATGCTGCCCAAGGAAGGGAGGGCTAAAGAGACTTCAGAAAGGAAAGGCTTTTGATTCATGCTGCCGTCACCCCCAAATCCTTCAGCATAGACAACTTTCTGTGTTACTAAACTGCTTGCTCACATGCTTACACACTCAGACACCCACTCACACTTCACTCACCTGCTCACATACTCAGACACCCACTCACACTCAGACCCTCACACACTCAAACTCATCCGCTCACATGCTCACCCACTCACACACCTGCTCACACACTCAAACGCTTACCCACTCACACACTTAGACGATGCTTCCTGCTCACACTCACCTGTTTACACATTCACTGATACACACGTTCACACACTTAGGCATTCACATGCTCACATACACACACGTGTTCACATGCTCACATACTTAATGCACCACAGGAACAGAAGCTTCTGCCCTCCTTCAGATGCTGCCAGCAGGGATGGGCCTCCAAATTCTCTTTGCCGTCACTCTGTGAAGCTAGACCCCACATACCCTCCAGGTCCCCACTGGGCTACAAGGAGAGACGGTTTTGTTTCTTAGCTGAGCAGGAACAGTTTTGCTGGCTAAAGGTGACTGATTTTTAATTATCAGGCAGAGATGACTCATGTGGTGGCAGCCGCTAGACCTGGAGCAGGATGAAGAGAGGGGGAAGAGGTGAGGGAACCGGGTGTCAGGCTGCCTGCGGGAACAAGCAAGCGGAATGGAGGGCATCCTGTCTAAAGGGGTTTGTGTCGGGAATGGGGAGCAAGGTGGTGCTGACAAAAGCACAGAAGTTCCAGAAGGCCAGGATGTCGTTAAGTGACAAGGTTTGGCTTCAGATGAAGCAAACTGTGCTTGCTAAGTATGAATAAAGCATAAATTTAAGTTTCCTGTCAGCAGGAAGGGAGTTGTTGGACACTTCCCAGTTACTGTCTGTTCTGCATGTCCCTGGGGGCGTCAGCCCTCTTCCCAGGTCTCCTGCCCTGTATTTCTGGCTTACTCACAGGAGCACAATCTCCCCTCTTATATCCTACCTCTGAATATCATTCTCAAACCAGCGCTGCCATGATGTGAACTCACCAGCCCAGATTCATGGCAAATCTCAAAAGAGATGCAAGCCCACTAAAATTCACAGGTTCACAGGTCTTTCGGCTGAAAATTCTGGAGCACTCTTGGGAGGAATGTGGGTTGAGTCACCACCCTGCCAAAGACCCAGCAGCTGCCTTCACACCCCGAAGCCTCCAGCATGCCAATGGCCCAACTTTACCGCTTTACTGCTAATCTCTGCAGCAATGCCAAACCCACAGAAATTCCAGGTACGCCAACTGGGGTTTTTTCAAAGTGGGGGTGGGCAGTCTCTCCTGCTCCCCCTCCCCCAGGCTATACTTCTGGAAGCCACCCCACTCCCATCACACCCACACCCCACAGCCACTGAGCCACTAACTTGGCCCAGTTCTATAGATCCTGGAGTTTCTGGAATACACAGTCACGCACACCTCCAAATTCCGCAATACTGACAGCCCAGTAGGGGCATAGAAAATTAGATGGGAAAGTAGCATAGATGCCAGCTAAGTTCAATAAACAAAAACAATAATATAAGGACTTAATGACCCCATGGTGAGGTATAACAATTTTCAGAAAAATTTTTTTCACTGAAGTATTTTTTGATAATTCCATTAGCCATTTAGTTGTAACAGGCAATAGAAAAATAAATTACTTTGAAGGGCTGAAACATTAGTAGGGCATTTGCCTTACAGCTGAACCAAGTTCGATCCCTGACATTCCCAAGCACCATCAGGAGTAATTCCTGAGTGCAGATCCAGGAGTAACCCCTGAATACTGCCAGGTGGCCCCAAACCAAACAAAAATAAATTATTTTGTACCTGCTAAGGGGACAAGTTTGGGGGTTGGGCGGAAAACCGGGAGCAATGAGTAGAGGGAAGGTCACACTGGTGGTGGGATTGGTTTTGGAACGTTGAATCCTTATAACAACTATATCCTGAGAGATTTTGTAAACCATGGTGTTTAAATTGTTTTCATTGATGGGGCAGTCGAGGCTTTCAAAGTAAATTAGGGCTGGGGAGCTATTACTGTGGGCAAAGCTATTATTGTTTTGCATGCATCTGACCCTGGCTTGCTCCCTGGCATCCCATATGGTTCCCCCAAGCCCCACCAGGAGTGACCCTTGAGCACAAAGCTAGGAGTAGTCCCTGAGCACAGCCAGGTATGACCCAAAAAACAAAAAAAAAAGGGAAAATTTTTGGACTGGAATGATAGTACAGCAGGTAGGGCGTTTGCCTTGCATGCAGCCAACCCGGGTTCAATTCGCAGCAGGGTTCGATTCCCAGCATCCCATATGGTTCGCCTGAGCACCGCCAGGAATAATTCCTGAGTGCAAAGCCAGGAGTAAGCCATATGCATCACTGGATGTGGCCGAAAAAAAAAAAAAAAAGGAAATATTTCAGTTAAATCCTACTCCCAGAGAGAGGAGATCCTGATTGCCCAGCTCTAGCTTCCTCTTGTGTCCACAGCTTTCTCCAACGAGCACCTCAAACAGCCCCTTTAGGGCCACAGATGTGACTGAGCATTGCAAAAGGCATATCACTGGCATGCATGAAGCCTGGATTCAGTTCCTAGCACTGCAAAAGCAATTCCCCTGAAAACCAACAAACAATTCCCTCCACCGGAGCCTCTGAAACACAGGCTTTTTTGCAAGGGCTCCAGGTTTGATCCTCAGCACCTCCAGGTCACCCCTGCCCAGCACCGTGCCAGAAGTATACCACCAAGGTTGGCCTACGAACATTCAAACAAAACAAAGAGCTCCTGTCATATCATTGGCACCTCTGTCCTAGCTGCCCAGATAGATTGTCAGTCCTTCCCCCTAGGCTACCTAGACATTGTCCCAGGGGCAAGGAAGGAAGGGATGAGCTATCCAGAAGTGGTTGAAATGATCACACACACACACACACACACACACACACACACACAGCCAACCCCTGCCAGGATCCTGTCTCTCGCCCCCCACACCTTCACACTAGTGCGCTCTCGGACACCTAGACCAACAGACTGCCTTCCCCGCTGTCTCACCGTCAGTTTGGGGCATGAAGGAGAGTTCTTGAGCTTAGGTTGAAGCGAGGGAAAGGTTGAGTTTAGCTTGGCATGAATTCTTGAAACCTGATGAGGAAGCAAAGGACACACCACCCACCTCACAGCTTCTGAAACCGGTTCCCAGCAAACTCTCTGTTTTGTTATTTTTTGTCTTTGGGTTACACCTAACGCTACTCAGAGGCTCCTCCTGGCTCAGCGCTTGGCCCATTGTTCCCAGCAGTGCTCAGAGACCATGCAGTGCCAGGAGTTCAGCGTTGGCCTCCCACACGTAGAACAGTTGTTCCAGGCCTGGAGTCATCCCCCAGCCCGACTTGTACCCTGTCCCTTGAGTCTAGGGGACAAGCAACAGCCCCCCCACCTGGGATCAAAGTCCAAACTGAGCCCACTTGTAAAATCCTCAGGTTGAGCCAGGGACCTCCCAGGGCCAGTGAATCTGCTGCAGCCACCTAGCGCTCTCAGTGGGCACAAACCACACAGAGGAGGTAATTCCCGGGGTGAATTGCAGTGAGGCAAAGCAGATGGCTTCAGGACTACAGGGTGAGTAGGGGCAGGGATTCTCCCACCTTTGCTTGCTCCCAGCCCTCTCACTAGTCCTGGAGGAATTAATTTTCTTCCCTCCTTGGAGCTTACCATGAGCAGCACTGAATACACCTGCAACATATTGAGTCTCCATTGAGCCAAGCTGTGGGCTTGGCATCGGAGCAGCCTGGAGGACCTGCTTGCTGGTGCACTGATCTTCAGTGCCTTGGTGCCTTGACTGAGATGGTGGCTGGGGCTGCAGTGGTAGCTGCTGCTGGACCAGCGCTGGCCCTGGCTTGACCCAAGCTTCCGTCCATGTGTGGGCATTATTCTCAGCCTGGCATTCCTCTCGGAGTCTTTTCCGTTCCTGGAAAGAAGCCCGGTGATTGCCTTCAGGCTTCTATCTGCCAGAGATCCAGGCAGCAGACCCTAGAGCTGGAGGGGCCCACAGGGTCTCTGCTCCTGGAGCAGGAAACTGAGGCTGCAGCCTGGACCCTCCCATCACCCTCCACAACTCCCAAGAACTCTCTAGTGCCAGTGACCCTCAGCATGACCCAGGAACCAGACAGCTCTAAAGACTTCTAGCTTAGAACTGTGCTGAAAATTGTTCTCAGGACCAGAAGATAAAGAATCTTTTCTTTTTTTTTCTTTTCAGTTCTTGTTTTGGGGTCACACCTGGTAGTACTCGGGACCTACTCCTATTTCTGCACTCAGGGGTCACTCCTGGCAGGACACAGGGGATCATGTGGGGTGCAAGTGCCCTACCTGCTGTATTATTGTTCCAGCCCTCCAAGAATAATTTCTTACAAATGCTTTGAAATGGTTGGAGTGATAGTATAGCTAGTAGGACACTTGCCTGACAGACCTGGGATTGATCCCCAGTACCCTGTATGATTCCCGCGTTCCATCATCAGGAGTGATCCCTGAACACAGAGCCAGGAGTAAACCCTGCACGTAACTGGTTGTGGCACCAAACTGAACCAAACAAACAGAAACACAGGAAACAAACTTTTCTTAATTAAAACAATTTTTTCTTAACTAAAAAAATAAGTTGGGAAAGAGGGCCATGTCCAGCAGGTCCCAGTTGTCACTTCTAGATCAATGTTTGATGATACTCAGAGGACCATGTGTTGATCAAACCTGGGCCTCCTGCATTTATGCTCCAGCCCACAGTGCTTCCCCAGCCCCAAAAAATATTTAAAATTTCATTTCTTTAATGTTTTGGGATCACACCCAGGGATGCTCAGGGTTTTCTCCTGGTTCTGCACTCAGGAATTACTCCTGGTGATGCTCAGGGGACCATATGGGATGCTGGGGATTGAACCTGGGTCAGCCGCGAGTACTCTATAGGAGTGACCAACAGGGGGCTGGAAGCAGGTAGGGCATTTGCCTTGCACTCGCCCTACCCGCTGTACTATCATTCCAGCTCCCAATATACAAACTGAACATTAAAAATTTTACATTTAGGGGTTGGAGCGATAGTATAACGGGGAGGGCGTTTGCTTTGCACAAGGCCGACCCAGTTTCAATCACCGGCATCCCATATGGTCCCCTGAGCATCGCCAGGAGTAATTCCTCAGTGCAGAGCCAGGAGTAACCCCCGAACATCATCTGGTATAACTCAAAAAGCCAGAAAAAATAATAAAATTTTCTGTTTAAATATATTAATTTATTACAAAATTTAAAAATTCACTCCTTGATCTCACTACATTTCTTTTTCTTCTTTTATTTATTTTTTTTTTCAGTTATGGGCCACACCTGCTTGTGCTCAGGGTGTACTCCTGGCTTTGAGCTCACAGATCATTCTTTATGGTGCTTAGGGAACCATATAGGGTGCTGGGGATTGAGCCCAGATCAACCGAGTGCACGGCAAATGTCTTAAGCCCTGTACTTCTCTTTGGTGTCTCACTGACTCTTTTTCAAGTGCTCAGTAGTACATGTCTCATTGTCACCTTGATGGACAATACGGCTGTAAAATCTCCTGAGCAAGGGGCCAGAGCCCACCTGGTGAGGCACTTGCCTTACATGCAGCCAAGCCAGATTCTATCCCCAATTCCCCATATAGTCCCCCAGACCCACCAGGAGTAATCCCTGAGCATAGAACCATGAGTAAGTCCTGAGCATTATCTGTCGCCCCCCCCCAACCAGAATAAATAATTAAA